ATTGGCAAGTCGTCCGAGAAAATCCCACGGTACTGCCTTAGTAACGCTGCCAGGTCATCCGGTACGTCGGCGAGCAGATTCTGTAAATCACTCGGTTTGTCTGCTGCCTCGGATTCCCGAACGCCAACTGCATACACGCCAGCTCCTGCCGCTACGGCGCATTTCATCGTGATCGCGTTGACGCGCACTGACGAAGAATCAGGCGAGCTCCAGCGAGGTAAGGCGATGTTGTTACCGTTCACTCGCACGGTGCAGTCACCTGTCATCCAGTCGATTCGCGGGTTGTGTTGTCGAGGGTCGTTGCGAGCATTTCTTGGGTAAATGTGAAGCTACCCCCGCAGCGAATCCAAACTCGGTCCACACGTTTCCGTATCGCCAGTGGCATGCCGTCGACCAGTCGTGCGCCAATCTTAGGTAAGCACCTCTCCAGTGGCAGTTTCAGTCTCCGCGCAATGGCAGTGTTGATCACGATGTGGCTAGCCCCACCGTCTACGAAGATTTTAACCAAGTCCGTATGTATTTTCCCGCTAAGCAGTATGGGGCTGTCTACCGATCCTTATTAAGCTGGGTGTGATTGATTGCGTGAACCGGCACAACCACTCGGTGAGGGTCAGTTGGGTCGGGCGAGCGGCGTGACCTGTCAGTAGAGGGCGCGTCTGCTACTGACTCCCAGCGTTTCCCTGCTCCTTGGTCAGTTTTTGCTGCGCATCTTCCCCCTTCCCCTTAGCGCTTTCCGTGCATTCACTCTTACGGTGTCCCAGCCGATTGCACGCGAAGCAGTGCCCTCGACGGCGGCATTTGCAGCGACGGCGGATATCGTGGCTTGATCGTTCCTCCCACGACACCGATGTCCCCAGTTACTGTTGTTGCCGTAGGACCCCAGTCTCGATCGGCGTAACAAGTCAAGCTTCTCCGCCATGGCGAGAATGTCCTGGAATTCAGTGACGTTGCGGAGCTGGATTTCTTGGGCGTTTTCGTGTTTCAGGCCGCCGATGCAGTGGTTGATGCGCCCGCCCTCGTGCAAGTATCCCACCTGCTCACACATCACCAAAAACTCGCTGGTGTATTTATGGAAGGAACCGAGTTGGCGCCAAGTGCGGAGCCTCTGACGCGCCGCGATCGAAGCCGCGATCGGCTCGAATCGTGCGCGCAGACCTGCGCACCACGCGTTCCACGTGCGATATTGGGGCACTTGCACGAAATACGACGGCGCCCAAGGTCCGGTTTGTCCTTCCCGTGTCGGTAGAGTTGCGTGGTCTACTGGCTTCGTGACAATGACGCGCCACCACTCCATGGCGGGTCCTCGCAGCAGCGATACGGCGTAGCGAATCTTCGCCGAATCCTCCGAGACGTAGTTCGCGTCGAAGAACACCTTCATGGTGAATAACCACGCTTGAACTATAGGACCACCCCTTTGACTCGTGTCAAAGCAAGGGGGACGCTGCGGCTTTAGAGGCGTCGGCGACGGTAGGGCTGACTCGTCGGTCGGCACCAAAATCGTGACGTGAGGTTGGCTTCTGGCCGAATTCGTCGCTTCGGGATGTGTCGTGCCATGGTCGTCGTCGCGGGCGACGCCATCATTAGCCGCGCTCGATGGTTGCCTCACACTTCCGTGTTGTGATGCCTGACGTGCGGGTTGTCCGTGCGTGCCTTGCGTCTGTGACTGTGCTTGTTGTGCTCGTGCGACGTGTGAGAATACAAGGTAGTCTTAGGAGCCATAGCTAGGTAAGCCCTAGCTAGGCAAGAGAAAGTTAGGCAAAATAAGGAGGATTCACTAGCAGCAATGAGGATACATATAGCAAACCCTAGATGGGTTGTACTCGCTATAGAGCACCCCACTACAGGCTAGAGAATAACATTCTGACACACCCCCATAGCCAAAGTGGGGTGTAATCAGTACAATGAGCAAGCAGGTATAGAGCAGGAGTTCACAAAGGTAAACAAAGCTAGAGCTAATCACAGAGGGCAAGTGAGGAGGAGGAGAGACTGTGGAGGGAGAGAAGATGGGAGGCAACGACTGAAGCTGCAGAGGCACGGGCACAGGAGCGGCTGACTCAGTGGCTACCGAAGCAAGGGCGACGGACTACTGGAGTAACTGGCTCCGCGGCTATAGACGAGCGGCAGGAGCAACGGACCCACTTGCGACTGGTGCAACAGGCTCACTGGCTACCGAAGCAAGGGCGACGGACTACAGGCGCTGCAGGCGACACGACAGCTACCTTCACACAAACTCCTCCAACTGCCCCACTCCCCTCTCACACACCCCCTGTTCAAACCCTAGCTCCACTCCCACAGCACCCCCCTTAAACCCTAAACCCCAGACTCCCACACATCCACCCCCCTCAGCGACAGCTGCAGCAGTGGGAGACGAAGGAGGAGGAGGAGAAGGGGACGGCGCGCACAACCGACACCCCCACAACCAGCACCCCCACACTCCTCACCCCTAAAACCCTAAATCGGGTGGGAGAGGGGCAGGAGCGCGGGGGATGGTGAGGGGGGGGGACAGCGCGCGACCCCCAGGGCGCCAGAACGGACGGGCCGGCGGGTGAAGGGGGGTGGCGCGCGCTGCTCCCCAGGGCGCCGCGACGGACGGGCGGGGGGGACGCGCGCGCGGCTCCCCAGGGCGCCGCGATGGTCTGACGGGGCGCGCGCGGGCTCCCGAGGGCGCCGCGACGAGCTGGCGGGGCGCGCGCGGGCTCCTCAGGACGTCGCGACGAACGGGCGGGGCGCTCGCGGGCTCCCCAGTGCGTCGCGACGGACGGGCGGGGCGCTCGCGGGCTCCCCAGGGCGTCGCGACGGACGGGCGGGGCGCTCGCGGGCTCCCCAGGGCGTCGCGATGGACAGGCGGGGCGCTCGCGGGCTCCCCAGGGCGTCGCGACGTGCAGGGCGGGGCGCGCGCAGGGTCCCCCACGGCAGGAAACCGCCGCGCGCCTCGGGGCGCACGGCGGGCAGAAAACCGCCGCGCGCTGGGATGAAAAATTGGAGGTCGCGCGCCACGGGGCGCGCGACACAGAGTAGGGCAGCGGAAGCAGGTGGGCCCACAGGCCAGGAGCGTATCGCTCTGATAGCATGTGAGAATACAAGGTAGTCTTAGGAGCCATAGCTAGGTAAGCCCTAGCTAGGCAAGAGAAAGTTAGGCAAAAGAAGGAGGATTCACTAGCAGCAATGAGGATACATATAGCAAACCCTAGATGGGTTGTACTCGCTATAGAGCACCCCACTACAGGCTAGAGAATAACATTCTGACACGACGTCATTATGCAGGGACGTGCGTTTTTCCGTCAGCGCCGCGATTTCTTCGGAGTTTTCGCGTAGTTGCTGCAGCAATTCATTCAGACGCTCCTGCGTGAGGCTCGTGACGTCGATGTGTTCGGCCATGTAGAAGGACGGCGGCTCGTCTTAGTTCTAGGCGCAGTCGTGGCTGCACGCGTTTACGAGAGAACGCGAGAACAGCGGCTCCTAGGGGCTAAGGGGCGTGAGTCCCTTCGAGTGCAAAAATCTAGAGTTGATTTCTCTGGGTGCGGAGATGCGTGGTCCGAAAGAAAGACGCTCCGAATACCAAGTGTTACGGGTGCAATGGAACAAGAGCGAGATTGCACCAGGTGTCAAACGAGTACCAAGTATGAGCGAAGGCATGAGCGAATACTTATACGCGAAACATGCAAACGGTAACACGGTGCGTGCGATCTAGCTAGTGCTATGCTGACATTGAGGTTCGGGCTAGTCCCGAACCGAAGCGTAGGCCGACTCGGCTAGGCCAGCGGCGCATGGTTAGGTAAAACAGTGCGCGCGAAGTTGGCGAAGCCCCGTTAGCAGTAACGGGCGAACAACGGCTGCTGCTGTACGCGATGTTGACGGTCTTGGTGAGGAATGTGGAGAAAATTCCTTACACTTATCAACCACTTCTACAAGGATGTACAGTGTAACTGTGTGACCTTATTCTGTATAGGGGTCCTCAATGCAGTGGCGTGAATCGCAGACAGCCAACCGTGCGTGGGTTGGCTCCCACCATCACACCGCTGGCGAATCAATCACGGCCAAGGTGCGATTCCCTCTGCCACATGGCGTTCCTTGTGCTTTGAACATGCTTGTTTCTTTGCTCGCGCCGCTATGTGGGTTAAACCGAGCCGCGGATAGTGCATTCTGAATTTTGAGATTCTGCGCGCAGCCTTCAACACAACAGATATTGCCTCACCGACCACTCACTCCGTCTCCTCTCGATTCTATGCTCTCCAGCCACTTGGTCAGGCCCAGCAACTCCATACTCAGTCACTGGGTCGCCTTGAGAGGATACTTCATGCTCGGTCTAGCCTAACTTCCTGGCAACACAGTCGCGTAGTTGGTCCTAATTCTTCCGCTTGAAGTCATGTGTATTCGTCAACTCTCGCTGCTCCTTCCCTTCACAGATGTACTCCTCGCCACTCTCGTTTGCTCGACAGCTGGCACTCGGCGGCGCGAGTTGCGGAAGGCGCAGACAGCAGTGCCGCCCAACGCCACGCTCGTCCTGCTTGCGAACAACACGTTCGGCGCTAAATGCCTCGACGGAAGGTACTTCCTGCGTCTCAGCCGTTGGCAACGGATGTATATAGATTGCCAGCCGACCACGACGGAGGTTGCGGAAAGAGAATGCTCTGGCAGAGCAGAATTTGAGCACGCGCTCTGTCCGCCGCACCTGGTACTCGCGCGTTCAACATGAGTAGCCCCGCTGCTTGCTGAAGTGTGTATTGACAACTTCAAACAGAGCTGCTCATTGGAATCGGGTGATCGTGGAGAACACGATAGGCGATCGCAAGTAGACTGTTGCCGACCTAGACTTCGGCCTCTCAACAACGCGGCACTCCACTCGCGGGCTTTCGTGCATGCGGATTAGTACTGCCCACGGATTCCCGCCGCGGCCCAGTCACTGAGGCGCGATGGGGTTTACAGGCGGCGATGGAAGAGAGAGCCGGAGCGCCACTGATGTAGAGACGCCAGCTGTTTGCAAGAGATGGAAACGGATAATGACACTCGTAGTCTGCGATTTCCCTCACCCCTGCCAATCCCCTTCCAACTTTGCTCTGCGACTTACCGTCGGGCCTCGTCTCACCTCTGTGCCTGCTCGCCTATCTCTCTCATATTTCATCGCATGCGCGTTGTGGTGGCGCGGAGGGCCCATGGGCTCTCTAGCGGCTCGCTCACCCGCGGGGACTCTGCCACGCGCAGCAGCTGGTCGGCGTAGCCGCCACCTCCGCCTTCGACCCGCCCCGAAGCCTCTTAACACCCATCCCCCACCTTTCCTCCCCCTTCGGCCCGCGCAGTCCCCCAGGGTACTACTTCCGCCCCGGCGCGGCAGCGGGTCGTCTGCGGTGGCACATCTACCTGCCCGGGGGAGCATGGTGCGTCACCCCCGCCGACTGCGCCGCCAGAGCCGGCACGCGCCTGGGATCCAGCAAGAGCTTCCCCGCCAACCCCGCGCACTACGTGAGACCCCTGGACCCCGCCAGTCATATGCGTAGCTGCCTGCCACACGGTGGGCCCCTGTGGTCCTTCGAACATGGGGAGCGTTCGAACAGAGGGGGCGTTCGAACAGGGGGGGCGTTCGAACAGGGGGGGCGTTCGAACAGGGGGGGCGTTCGAACAGGGGGGGCGTTCGAACAGGGGGGGCGTTCGAACAGGGGGGGGGCGTTCGAACCTTCTCTTTCGGCCTTTTGAAATCCGAAATTGGTGCAAGTATCCCCATCCCCATTCCGCCACGCACATCCCCCCATCCCCATTCCGCCACGCACATCCCCCATCCCCATTCCGCCACGCACATCCTCCCATCCCCATTCCGCCACACACATCCCCCCATCTCCGCATTCCGCCACTCACATCCCCCCCGCACGGCATGCCATCGTCCGATACCCCTTAGAGCGCGCACCCCTCACTATCTCCTCCTCACCCTCCTCTGCCCTGCACCCCTATCCCCCTACCCCCCTACCCCCATATCCCCCTACCCTTTTTCCGCATCCTCCCCCCTCCCCGCACTACTGCAGGCGGCGCAGCTGAGGCCGCCGTTCGAGGGCATTCTGTCGGGCAGCGCGCAGCAGAACCCGGCGCTGTACCAGTGGAACCTGGTGCGCCTCATCTACTGCGACGGCGGCGGGTACGCCGGCACCAGGGGCGCCCTCAACGTCTCCCTCGCCTCCCCTGCTGCTGCCGCCCCTCGCAATGCAAGCTCGGCTGCCAACTCCACGGGGTCAACCAAGTCATCCGCGCCGTCCACGGCAGCCATCTACCTGGACGGGTGGAACATCATTCAGGCGGTCATTGCAGGTGCTGCGCCACCCCCTCGCCCTCGCCACTGTGCTCTCCGTGTGCCCCCTTGGCTGTGCGCAGTGCCTTGTGGCTCACAGTGACGTGGCACCATCCACTCACCACCCGCTCTCCCTCTCTTCCTTTTTGCCCCGCCGTGCCCTCGTCCGTCCTCTCCCTTCCTCTCACCTCTATCGTTTCGCCTCTCCTCCCTTGACTCAGTGCTGCCTGCTCCACCTCCCCTCCTCTCTTCTCTCTCCCTCCTGTCTCCTTGCTCTCTTTCCTCAGCTCCTCGCCTCCTCACCTCCTCGCCTCCTCATCTCCTCGCCTCCTCGCCTCATCGCTTCCTCGCCTCCTCGCCTCCTCACCTCGCCCCTCTTGCCATGCAGACCTCGTGCAGAAGCGCAAGATGCGCTCAGCCTCACAGGTTCTGCTTTCGGGCAGCTCAGCGGGTGGGCAGGCGACAGTGAACCTTTGTGATTGGTTGGCGTCGTCCTTCCCGTCCGCTTCCACCCGCTGCCTCGTTGACTCGGGCTTCTTCCTTGGTATGCCCACGCCGTTAGATGTTTTTCTGCATGAGCTATGAAACACAGTTCTATGTGCTCTTCAATTTAAAGTGTGGCTTCCAGGTGAGAAGATCGAAGCCTGCAACTCTAATGTGAAGTGTCTGGTAGCTTCAGTGTTTTGCTGAAGGGACGCTGTTCACCTTGTGCACCACTCAAGGCGCCTTCCTGTCACTTCTCTCTCCACCTCTTTCTCCCTCTGTGAAGCAAACCCCTCACCCCATCAACCCTCTCTCGTGCAACCCCCTCCACCCATCAACCCCGCCCCCCTTCCCTGCCACAGACACGCGTGACCGCGCAATGAACTACACCTTTCACTCGCTAGCTCAGAACCTCACCGCACTGTTGGTGCAACCCTACGGTTTGCACTCGGCTTGTTGTCCGTGTGCGTGAATGTGTGTGTGTATGGAATGGTATGAGGGCATGGGATAATATATATTTCATGCTTATAATTGTGTGTGAATGTTGAGTCATGATGTCGAGTGTGTGTGTCGAGTCAATAGCGAGTTATCGCTAGACGCGTGTTACGCGGTCGTTTGTGTCTCGCGCGCGGTTTCTATTTTGTCGTGCGCGGTTTCTATTTTGTCCTGTGTCGAACGTTCGGCGTGTCGCAGGTGTGTGCAGCAGACCCATCAAGAACTCAAGGATGAGTTTGTGATGAAGAGCCCGAGCCTTGGTGTCAAGCCTCAAGTGATTTCGAAGCTTGCCAAAAGGGTACACCTCAAGATATTGAAGATAGTTACATTACTTTGTGTAGTGTAACATTTCACTTGGTGTAGGCCCTAGTGAAGGGTAGTTTCGAGACCCTTCGTGTTTGGGGACAGTGTGGCACTATTCCACATCACTGTACCTCGGCTCTTGGGGTTTGTAGGAGCTGGGAGTCATTCCCAACTCGTAACTCTTCCTATCTTGTGTTCTAAGACTATAGTGGCTGCCATAGTACCGTTCGTTCAAACCGACGCTGTGTCGTCAATTCTTTATCAAATCGTGCAATCTAAATTGCTAATTGTAGACGACGTGAAGACGCTCCAGATCCAATTTGAATCAAGGCATTTGCAGCTGTGAGCAGAACGCTATCAACGTTTGAAGCCGCTGTGCAGAAATCCGTCTGTGCTCTCTATCTTTCGTTTTAGGCACATTCAAGCCTATTGTGACTATAACACGCACTGCACCGCCCCTCCAACCCCACCTGCCCTTATGGTACCTCATCTGCTCCCATGCCACCTCATCTGCTCCCATGCCACCTCATCTGCTCCCATGCCATCTCACCTGCTCCCATGTTACCTCATCTGCTCCCATGTTACCTCATCTGCTCCCGTGTTACCTCATCTGCTCCCATGTTACCTCATCTGCTCCCATGTTACCTCATCTGCTCCCATGTTACCTCATCTGCTCCCATGTTACCTCATATGCTCCCATGCTACCTTATATGCTCCCATGCTACCTCATATGCTCCCTTCCTACCTCACCTGCTCCCCTGCTACCTTATATGCTCCCATGCTACATGTGCTTTCATACTACCCTGACCCTCCCTTTCCTTTTCCGGATCGACCCCTATTTTCCATCCCTTTGGACCCCCCTCTTCCCGATGCAGCAGCAAGGCCGGCACAGCAGTGGCGGTGCTTCTTCCCGCAGTACACTCTTCACAACACCTCCACGCCGCTCTTCCTCTTCCACACGCCCTTTGACTATGTAGCAGCCACGATCGGAAACCTGCTGGCTATTAACAACACCTACGCAATCAGCTGCCTAAAGGAGATTATCAACAGCCAAAAGAATATCTCAAGCATTGTGAGGAACAAGGCGTGGAGCGGCATACGGTGGAATGCAAGCTCTGCATGCTCGCAGACTGAGCGTGAAACATTATTCTGGACAGCATTTGGGCTGTACGACCAAGTAAAGGTTCTTTCGCAGGAAAGGTCGTCTATAGGAGCTTTCGTACCATTTTCTTACGTGCATTCTGCCATTACAAATTCTTTTTGGAATATGCCATGGATAAATGGTACGTCGTTGTCAAATGTTTTCAACGTATGGTCGAGCATTGTGTTTCAAAATGTTTCCATCATAGTATCTCAATGATGTTAATAAAACCTTTCATGTGCTATCCGGGATGTGTTATTCGTTATAGAGTGCAGAATGTTTTGATAACTGTTACACTTGCAAGTGAAAGAGCAAACCAGAAGTATGAAGGTGTTGGAATGAGATAAAACCTTCAGAATAAGGTCTCAGTGAAGAGATTCTTTTAAATTTTCACTGTAAGGAAAATTCCTTCTCCTTACTTCGCACCCCTGCTTACCGCGTACATGACTGTTCTTGCCAACAAAAACCCTACAGTAAAACGTTACCACTCGCGACACTCGTCTTGACAACCATTCCCGCCACTGTTCACATCCAGACCCAGCCTCACGATTCGGCTAGTAACCCGCGCTCCGATCCTCCGCCTCTACAATTCCCAACCTCGGCGCCAGGCCCGCCGCACACCCCACAGTTCACGTGCTCTACCGTTACCACGCTAGTTTCCCTATATGACATTCGCTCATTCCTTCACTCATTGTACTGTTTGTGCTTCGATAGTGCAATCCTCGCTTGCTCAGTCGGCACTTGAAATTGCGACGCTAACGGCGGAATGCGACTCCGCGTTTCAGCAATCATCGGCAAACGCACCGGCACCAGTAAATGCACATGCACAATCGGAGGAGCCAATCATCATTTCATATAGAACACCATCGCCGCCCATTATATGACGGGAATGGAACGAGCCAGGGAGATGCCGGCACAAACACACCGCGCGAGGCTCGTCGCCACGTCAGCATTGCAGCTCCTATCAACAGCCACGACATCGGTGAGCCAGCATGGGGGTCTGACAGTTCAACATTGAATCTTCACGATGAACGTGTTTTTTTTACGCGAACTACGTCACGTCGAATGCAGCGAAGATTCGGTACGCCGTTTCCTTGCTGCACAGGCCCACCATGGACTGGTGGCGAGTTATTGTAACGTCGCTGAGCGCCTACGAGCCACTATCGCAAGGGGACAGGGCCTCAGAGCCAGCCGTAAACTGGAGTTTGTTATGAGAAACCGCCCAATACAACATGTGGGACGCGTGGTGCGCATGGCTTCGGGCGCGTTTCGAACCGATCGCGGCTTCAATTTCAGCACGCCAGAAGCTGCGCACTTGGCAACTGCTTGGGTCAATCCAAGACTACACCAGCGTTTCTCTCACGCGGTGCGAACAGGTCGGCTACATGTACGAAGAGGAACGAGTGGATCTCTATGTCGGCAGCTTGAAGCCGGAAATTTCTCAAGAGATTCTTCTCCGTAGGATTTCTAGTTTTAATGAAATTCTGGCGCTCGCTGAGAAGATCGACATCCTACACCGTCCGAAGCCGGGATCCTACCACTATGGACATTGTACTCGGGGGCCGACCGAACACGCCACTGTAGAGGCCATTGCGACGAACACAGCTGCCGCTTCATTTAAGGGGCGCTGCTTTGCGTGCAACACGCCAGGCCATCGCAAGAGCGAATGCCCAGAGGAGCTAAGGCGTCATGGAGCAGAGCAGAGGAGGGAGTCTGGGAGGCAAGAAACGCCAACACTCAGTAGAGTACGGGCCCACTACCATCGAGACTCACCACTCGCCCGACCTCAGTGACCCTCACCGAGTAACGGAATCGATTCACGCAATCAATCGGGCACGTCTGAATAAGGAGGGTACAACGACAGATTGCCCAATACTGATTCACTGGAAAATACAAGGGGTAGTAGTGAAGAGTTTTATTGACGGAGGAGCAAGTAACGGTTTAGTTAATACCACGTCTGCAAAGAAGCTCCACCTGACACAACTGTTTACTGGAGTTTAAAGCATGCTTAGTTTACGGCACGCTCCTGGCTATACGGGAGAAAGTGAAGGTTCGCTGTGAGGGGAACTTCGGGTTTACACAGGAAATGCTTGCGACGATATTGGATAGGCAAGACATTTTACTGGGATGTGTTTGGCTGCGACGCTTCAACCTGCGACTCAACTGGACGACGGGCATCTACACGGTGCGAAACAGCGATAATTGAGTCAAGCTACCTCGCTCGCAGTCGCTTGAGTCTTCAACGGTCAGCGTCAATGCCATCACGATGAAACAGGCAGTCGCATCTGCAGGATACTACCTCCTGTCTCAGAGCCTAGAGCCGAATCAACGGCAGCACATAATGCATCTGCTCCCGGAAGAAAACTGCGAACCTCGAGTCTGGACTGTGTTGCACGCGTGGCAGCTGTGTCCCGGAAGACTTGCACGCGCCAAGGTCCGATGTGGCCACCCTAATGTTGGAGCGGGAGCTGTCGTCCCTGTGACTCAGTGAGGGCGAGCCGATCTAGGGCGTTATTGACAAGATGCGGGACATCTATGCCAAGCTTACTGCTGCAGGGGTGTCATATTCAGAACAAGCAAAGTTTCTCAAAATGCTGTCGCTACTGCCCGAATCCTGGTTACAGTTCACAAGCGGCCTGAGCTTGCCACAAAACCAAAACCTGTGAACCTTGGACTAGGGGCGATCCAAGATTCTCGAAGAAGACTTTCGGCGTCGCCAGTTAAGAGGGGATGAAGGGAGCAGCGGCTACGCGATGCAAGGCGGCAGAAGGGGAAGGGGCCGTGGAAGGCAATAGCCTAGAAAAGTAAGCCGTAATGATGACTACCGACGGGAGCAGCCGGGAAGCTCGTATGCTCGTGGCGGAGGAGCAAATCGAGTAGGTAATGGGGCCAATGGGGGCAACACAAGGATGCAAGGACATTGCTGCTACTGCAAGAAGGTCGGGCATCCGTGGTTCAGATGTAACACAAAACCGGAGTGGTGGACCCCCACGAATCGGTCGAATGAAGGAAGGGGAGCAGGAGCAATGAACAACGACTCTGAAGACTATGTGGATGAAGAAGAGTACAATGAGCGAACGGCAGGACAGTTTTTTCATGTGGAGGGGGAAGAAAATGAAAGTGGGACCTCGGGGAAAGTGGGAGCCGAGCTTCACCCATTAAGAGCCTGGATTGGACTCGGAAGCATCTTGGACTATGACTCCGAGATCTGACCTGCTCGACAAGGTGGGAGCAGCACCGATCTCTGAAATCATGTCAGCATCAGGACACGCGCTACAGGTGCAGGGAGCAGGCCGAGCATTGTTCAAAGGAGTAGACGGCAACCCATTCATACTGGAGAATGTGTTGCTGGTCCCAGACTTGAAGGCGAATCTTATATTTCTCAGGAGGCTTGCCAAGGCCGTAGTCAGCACCAACAAGGATGGATAAAAAA